CCCCCTGTTTTACTATGAATGGTATTGGACTATAAGCCTCAGTAGCTCTAACTAAGATAATGAGAGATGCTTGGCAATGTAGTACAACAATATTGGGAAGGCTACATGTTCTTCATTCCTGTTTAAGCCATCTTTACACATCTACATGGCAGAGGAAGCAACTGAGGAAGACAGGGAGAAGGAAAGAAAGGCATACCTAAGACGAGCAAGTTGATCCATGGCATTGGTAAGATACTAACACCTTTATCTGGAGGTTGAGTCACGGCAACTGGACTTCTTTTCTTTTGGTTTGATATGCTTGAAATTTTTGATATGTCCAAACAGCGAAACATATCAAACCAAAAGAAAAGAAGTCCAGTTGCCGTGACTCAACCTCCAGATAATTCCACCTGGATGACTGAGATTCTTCATCAACATAACACCTTTATGATTCATGCCTCAGCCACTATGTTACAACAGCTCTGAAGGATGCCTAGAGCTTTTGTGTGAATGTGGACTTTCCATCCATCTCAGTAGGAGGCAACTTTATAAATAAAACAAATCTACATGGGAGACAGTATAAATTATGCTACCTGCAAAACTGGAGTGAATTGTAAGTCCAGGTTTTATAGCAACATTTTGTACATGCAGAACTTCTGTTGAGCTCTGGAGAGGAACCTATAAGCTGCCAAATTTTTGGACAACCATGGTTGCATTCACATGTAACACTGAACCATAATTTAACATTTATGTGCACAAGCATGAAGAAAATCTTACTCCCTCCTGCCTCTCTCCTTCCCAGTTGATAGAGAGGAAGAATAAACAAGGACTCATTTCTATTAATGCCCTGATTTGACACTGCATATCACACTGGGAATTACAATTAACAATACCCTGTAGTAAAACAAATTGGGTTGATGTTGGCTTTTCCAGCAGTTAATGAGATATTCTCTTAAACTATTCTTCTTGGCTTGCACATAACACCAAGTCAGGAATCTTCTTGTCAGTTTCTGATTTATTACTTGTCCTGGTCATTTGGAGGAAAGGGTGAGATGATACCAAGGTTTAGCTTGGGATGTTTTCAGTTCATGCATGCAATGCTAACCCAGGCAATAGGGAAATGCAGCCAACATCATTCTTACGAAAGATTCATTAGAGCAATAGCCAAAAGTAATTCTATTCTGGAATTACAGTATGTCATGCGTAACTGATTATTTCCCACGTCCTACAACTGGAAACGCATACATTTAGTTTTCAAACCTAATTATTTCCAAAGAATATTATAATATTTGTTAACTTTTTTTCTCTGCTACAAAATGTTTCACCATTACACAACGAGGGGGCAACATTACATGTAGGAGAGTTAGAAAGGATCTTACTTTGCTTACCAACCCAGGCCAAATTGCACCCAAGCTTGTAAAAGGGAGCACTAGGAATAATGGGTAACAGGCTGGAGATTGTATAACTGACAAAGGAAGGGGATCTTACCTTCCTGTAATAATAATAATAATTAAAAAAAAACCTGGTAAGTGGTTTTTGAGGAGTTGATTCCTACCTACCCTCATTATCATCCTCCAGATTCTCCGACTGCTTGGCTTTGCATTTCCCAGGTGAAGGCGACTGGCTTTTTTTCTCCGTTCCCTCTGCAAGTGCAAGAAAGGTCAGACAGAGATGTTCATTCTCAAAGGCTGAGATTATAATGCTCGAAGTAGGATGATGATGGACATTATTACAATTATTAAATAGGAATGTGTAAGGTATTGGAAAAATAAATTGACTGCACCTCCATTTTGCTCTGGGAGAAAAATCACTATACTTTCAAGCTTTGTGAAGATTGATTTTTGCCTCCTGTGCTATTATCACAGCTAGGAAGAGCCTTAGGCTGAACCTGAATGCTATATTTCAAAAGTTATTAAACTGCACATATCAATAATTATATTCTCTCTTACTTTTAATCTACGTTGTGCCTGTACCATTGTATTATTATATATATTTTATAGTAATTATTTTATAAACTATGGACTTTATTTGCTAAGCACTGTGAAACACATTCAGTCATAAACTGATAATAGTACTACCTGAATGCACAGAGTTTCAAAAACTTCAGCAAATTCTAGTGACCTCAGTTTGGCTGTTCAGAAATACAGAACCAACATATAGGCTATAGCCTAAATGCACCAAATTTTTAGTAAAATAATGATAAGAATGAAAGAAAAAGCCATTCTGCTAGCTGACAGTGAGAAATCAATAATCTTGGACAGATTTATAACTCAGCAGAATTGAGTTATGTGCAAACTGTGCTGGACACTAGAATAAAAGTAAAGATAATAAATAGATATACTGTATACATATTTTAGTAGATGAATGTACAATTTAATTAACACAAGATATCCATCTGACTCTGGTACTACAAGGACGTGATAGATAGATAGATAGATAGATAGATAGATAGATAGATAGATAGATATGACAGCAGCAATCTTAAAAATGATAATTAAGATTCATGACCTAATGACAACATATATTATCCCTGTTACTTAAAATGTAGATAATATAAAATGATATCATACTTCAGTGCAATGTATTGAAAGTCCAATTGGCTGTAGTAGGATTAATGCTCAAGTAAATAAGCATAGGATTACACAGTGAAAAGGAATGTTTGGAATAAGAGAGAACAAAGAAGAGTCAAGAGAGATCGAGATGGACAGAGATAGAGGTAGACACAGAGACAGAGATAATCCAGACAGAAGAGAACCATAGGCGTTTAATAGTTAACAAATCTACAGGTCTTAGCAAAATACTGATCCTATTTATATGTAACCAAAGAAATTATGGAATATATAGAATCATCCTATGAGGTCACAAGTTGCTTCAAAAGTTAAAAATCTATCTAGTATGTTCATGTAGTTTCATATATAATATTAATAGACGCTTCCCAAACATCTGGCTTCAACTGAGAGTACACCTCATAGGTAAACAAATCAAAGTAATCAAATTAAGGGAACTTTAACTTCAGAGTAATTATGTTTAGGACTGGGCTGTAAAATGCATTGTGTATGGTGGGAATGGGAAATGCATTTATCGCTCACTCCAGAAGCGAAATTAAAAGATGCCCCATTGCCAAGTAACATTAAGTATTAGATGATAATGCAACTGTTCCTGGGAAAGGTAGGGATCAGTCTCTTCAGCTCATTAGTGTCATTCACATGAAAAAAATCTATGTCCTAATCGTGGCCATGGGGTGGGGTAGGGTCATTTGGTCTGGACTTCAAGATTAAAAGGAACTTCAACTTTAGGACTTAAAAATGTTCAAATCTTGTCTTTTTTGTCTATGTGTTTTATTTTTACATCATGAGTAAAAATTTTGGGGCATCATTACTGTAATAAAACTGGAAGTGACCTAGGCCTCTTTGAGTCTTTGATATAGCCTGATCTTTATATCAAGCAGTCAGGAGCTTGGCATCTCCTGTCTTTGGTGGTTTATTTTAGTGAATGGTCTTTCCAGAGGAAATCCTTATTCTTGGGTTCAGGGATCCAAAAGTGGGAGAATTGAAAAAGGGGATTTGTCTTTCCCATGAAATTTGACCAGGAGACTGAACCACCTCAGAGAAGATGAGGCCAAAAATGCCACAATGGTAATGATGACCACAAGCGGCTGGGGCTTTATTGATGTGTGCTTTGATTGTTTCACATTTAGATTATTACAATAGTCTTCTGGCAGCTGTTCCAGTTCCTCTTTCAATCCCTTTTCTGCTCCTTCTATGTTATAGGTAGTCCCCAGTTTAAGAATGAGTTCCGTTCCCAAGGTCTGTCCTTAAGTCGAATTTGTATGTCAGCCGGAACAGTGTTATTGTATAATACTGTAAAAGTAGTATTGTGTAATTAACTTGAACCATTGTGTATTTAACTTGAATTTTGCTATAATAGGCTCCATTCTTTACTATGGGTTGTCCTTAAACCAGGCGTTCTTAGCCCAGGGACTACGTGTATTCCCGAGTTTTGTTATATCACAATGCTCTTCACTGTATGTTCCTGTATGTTCCACTGTATGTGCCTGTAGGAGGCCTGACACACAGATGCACACAAAGGAGTACAGTTCAAAAGGCTTTACTCTGGTTGAGCAACTACAGCAGTGGCAGGCAGAGCATGTATGCAGACACACACAGAGTCTCAAGCAGTCCTGAATTCCTTGGAAAACTTACAGGCAAGTTCCTAGTAAGCAAAGTTCAAAGCAGCAGGCAGAAGTGTTGCCAGGGCACAATTCAAAAGTTGTAGCATCATTGGTAGATTGTCAGCTGGTCCAGGTCCAAAAGAACAGAGTTTCCATGAGCAGGAGTTCGTGGTGCAGCAGACAGAGTTTCTGGTAAACGGAGTAGTTGTTCTCAATGAGGGATTGCTTGCTAGCGGTGGCTCTAAAACCAGATGCAAAAAATCACCAGTGGGAAGGTTCTTGCCTTGCAAGGAGCCATGTAGACCTCCACTGCTCTGCCCTTTGCTCAGCCCTATGTGCCTTAGGACTGAGAGGAGGTCCTGGATCAGACAGACCTCTCATCTTCTGCTGCTCCCAGCTGCTCCACAGGGTTTGCAGCCAAATCAGCCCCAGGTGTTTCCCTGCTGCTCTCTGAGGTAGACTGCTGTTCCACAGAGTGTCCTCCTCCTTTTCAGAGTCCTCAGAGTTGGATCTGGCCCTGACACCGGCTCCCAGTTTGAGTCAGAGCTTAGTTCAAACTGCCAGCGATTGTGTTTAGAGCCCTCCAATCACCATCTCTCCAGTATCTGTTTGCTCTTGTTTCTTCTTACAATCCTGGGGGGTCCTTACACTCCTCTGGGCAGGGTCTTCTCTCAGTCTTGAGGCTGACAGGAACTTCTCCCTGGACTTTGGAATTGGCTTCTTCCTTCCACTGCCCTCTGTGAAGGTTTGACTAATGTTCTTTTCTTATTTGACTAGTGGGTCAGCATGGGGCCTAATTATTATATTATACTCATATTACGATTGATATTCTTCTGGTTACTCTATATAACTCATACATTAGTCAATAATAATTCATATATGCATTAATTATAGATATACATGCACTTTTCAGTGTTGTATGGCATTCCTTTAAATTTGAGTTCTAAAAATTGGTTTTATGGATTGATTGTTAAGTTGTGCACTAATTTAACTGGATGGAACTTTGTAGTTATTGCTCTTTTCTCTTTATCTGTATTGTGCCTTGATTAATAATTAATAATAACTTGGTATCCTATACCTTTATAAAATATATAAAATATAAGTTTATGTACTTTTGTGTATGTTTGATTGCAGTGCTTCATTTCAACAATATGGAATAGGACTTTTTATCTTTATTATTTGCTTATTAAATGAGATGTGTATGGATCCATTTAAAATTCAGACATTGCTCATCACATCCTGAGTCTCAGGGCAAAGATTCTCAAATTTCCTGCTTGTGTTTAATGGATGCAAACCATATTTTGTGCACTAAAAATATATAAGGGAATGACAAAATAGCAAATGCTTATGCTCATTTATGCTGCAGTTTCTGGAAAAATGCTTCTGATTTTTGTTTACAGTTAGGTGAAGAAAGAGATTTTTCATTTTTCTTTCTCATATTAAAGATGTAAAAATTTGCTCACCCAGACCACAGAAAGAAATTCAGGCCACATTTACATTGAAGTGTTACAATGATCTAAGTATGAAACGATGCATTTTTACATGAAGTCAGTATGAAGTTATAGACATGCATTCTGGAGAACAAGCCTCATTGATATCCAAAGGATTTGCTTTTGAATACATACACATAATACTGCAGCGCAATATGAGATTATTTACTGTATGATTATTTATTTTAAAATGGTCATCCAATAAACAAAAAGCCAGGAAAATCAAAAAGTACAGTTTCTGTCATGCACTATTAAATCACACCATGTAGAGCTGAGAAAAATCTTACTAGGTGCACAGTGCACAAAAACTTACTATTCTAACAATGCAGCATGAAATAGACAGGCAGAATACACTTTAGATACCAAACTATTAAAGCCAATAGCAAGTTTTAACTACATCTGTTCAAGCCAGATCAGCAAGACTGCATGAAAAATGATACCATCAGAGACTATCACAATATGCTTGCGAAAGCAGAAGACACTGAAAGAATAAAATACTGAGTGCAATTCTGATCCATCTAATTTGGTGGGAAATATGTCATTGATATCCACAAAATTGGAGCTCTAATCAAGATTTATAAACTGTCTCTTCACACACACATTTTCTTAATAGTAATTGGCTTTACTACAGGTAATCCTAGACTTACAACTATTTGTTTAACAACCATTTGAAATTATGAAGGCGCTGAAAAGTGGCTTATGACTGGCCCTTGCACTTATGACCGTTGCACCGTCCCTGCGGTCACATGATCAAAATTCCGGCGCTGGTCAATTGGCATGTATTTACAATGGCTGCAGATTCCCAGAGTCATGCGATCACCATTTGCAACCTTCCCAGGGGGCTTCCAACAAGTAAAGTCAATGGGGCAAGCTAGACTTGCTTAAGAACTGTGTGATTCACTAAACAACTGCAGCAAAAAAGGTCATAAAATCAGGCACAGCTCACTTAATGACTGCATTGCTTAGCGATGGAAGTTCTGGT